CGGGATGCAATAAACAATATGTATGGCGAGGTCTTTTCGGTTCTCATGAATTTATAATGACTCGTCATACGTATGTCGGGAGCGTCTCACGATGACACGACGGATTTAATCGCGACGACCGGTGACGTCATGTCCGTTTCATTTCGAGTCGACGAATTTCGGGCCGCGTGACCGATGGTGAGTAAAACCTATGTATATTTATGGATTCGCACGGTTATTCTCGTTCTAATCACTGAGTCGACGTTCGAGACCGCGACTGAGCCGCTTAATCGTTTTTAAATAACGCGGCCTATTAAAAACCTGTTATTTAATTAATGACGACCGTGCAACGAAATTTATCGTCCCGCACGGTGTTTGTCACGTCGAATTGTCTCGTAAATATCCAGCAATCACCACCGTGTGCGTGTGATGCACAATAAAGCGAACCATTCACCGCGAGTCAGCATGCGCGAAGTTGGTGGAAAAGAAAAAGAGGGAGAGGGAAAGAGAGAGGGGAGACGAAAGCATAAAGAATGCATGGCGACGATATTTACGCGTGTACGCGCCAGGTATACTTAAAATTTTTTGCAACTTGTACAGAATCAAGCACACAGATAAAATATCACGCAGAAAAGAAAGGTATCTTTCGATATAATACAATTTTTTTGATTGAAACAAATTTGTCTTTTGGAATAGAGCAAACGAACGAATGTTTGATTCGACAAACCGGATTACTTGGTTTCTCGACAATAAATATCTTTTTACATCAAATAACTGATTTCTTTTGTATTTTCATCCAAACATAACAATGATTGTCACAAGCGATAAATAATATTAAAAAAGTAACACTACATTGGAAAAGTATTCAAATATTTCTTTGTTTCAGCGGAACAATATTTAATATATAATGAAAAAAAATATATATTTTTATTGAAAACCAAGTATTATTTTCTCTACCAAACACGATTTACTCTAGTAAAATATTTTCATTCGAACAAAATGACATTTGATATTAAATTGTGTTGTTTATATTAAACAACAATCCCAAACAAACACGAACATACTAAATCGAAAGGGACCTCCTTTTTCTCCGTGCTTTTTCAAACTTTCACCGATACGGATCGCCGCGGGATTTTAACTCGACTTGGTTGCAAATTTTAATTCGACCTATTCGCTGCACGGAGCCGGACACACGGATATCCGATGAAACGTGGCTTAAATTAATCGATCGCACGGCGATTAATCGGGGATTTTATTCGCGTAAGCATAATTCAATCAAAACTGGAAGCACGGTAAACAGCTGTCAAGGAGCCTCATCTAGACAGGATTTTCAAGCGATTCCTACGAATCTCTAGACGCGTCTGTCTCTCCCCCCCTCTCTCTCTCTCCCTCTTTCTCTGTGTAAGCATCACCATGCGCCTGCTTCACTTCACGCGGACACGCGCGTCCCGCATACGTTAAACGTCATATTAATACGGACGCAGTATGCGAACACACCTCGGTCTACGTGCAACCCTAGGGTTCTTTCTCTCCCTCTCTTCAGGTGTCGGGAGGAGGAGGAGGGGGGATGAGACTGAAATAATAAACTAATTCACATTAACGTTTACACCGAAACGTCGAGTGCGAGCGTAAACGCGTTGGTTAAAACAACACGCGCGCGAAGAACGGAAGTTGTCTCCTTTGTGTCTCGCTGTGTTTCTTTAAATTGTTAACGCGTCGAATAGACGCGTGAAATTGCGGGGAAAGTGAGAAATTTTACGGTGCGAGAGAGGGAGAGAGAAGCCTATCCGGGGGGAGACACCCCGTTTTAATAAAACTCGCTATACGAGCTTACTTGCTAACGAAGTCGCAATCGATCGCTCGCGACGCACGATCTTCTTGATCGTCCGTCGATCATTCGGGCCCGGCGAACGTCGCCTAATAAAACGAAAACGCTCGATCGGAATTGACTCGAGATCGCCATCGACAGAAAGAAAAGGCATAACGTCGGGGATATGCGCGCGGGGGAATAATCGCGAATCATCGTGTGGAAACGCGCGTCGAACGTCTCGGCGCGTTAATGCACCACTTCTGCGAGAGGATGGAGCAAGAAGATTGACAGGCGGGCTCTCTCCGATCGCACTGCCCGCACCATATTCGACTCGTTGCATCCCGTTAATTGCGTCGCGGGCTCTCTCGACCCGAAATAAGGTTAACGATAAATACCGCGCGGTCGCGTCGTGTTCCTTTCGCCTCTCGCTCGAACTACCGCGCGCGCGCGCGCGCGACTCGCTCCGTCCGAGCGTGATGGAAAGGAGAAATAAGAGAAACACGGAAAGAGAGGGGGAGAGAGAGAGAGAGAAGAAGGAATACCCTGGGTGAAAAGCAGGCTGAACTGTCGCTCGGCATCGAAGGCCGCGGCCTGACGTCGCGGTGGATCGCGATCGAAGCGATCCATCGTTGTGCCGGCACCACACCGTGGCGAAAAATCTGTCGTCGATGACGCGCTTTCAATCCCGTCACCGAGCCCGGACCCACTTCGGGTGGCTTCAGTAACGCGGACTTCGCAATTAAAACGCACTGTCAACGCCAGCGTTTACCGCATCCATCAGCCCGAAGATGGAAAGCGTGTCAAGAAGCGGCCCACCCTCCCCCGGCCGGCGGGTGGCAAAAGGGTGGAGGCGTCCACTCGAGCGCGCGCCCCCGGAGTGCGCTCGCTCAAAAATGCATTTTTCAGGCGTGATATCGATGAACTGACAATTAGCGCGGATATGGGGTAAACCACACGCGGAGATACATGAACGTGTTCACTCTGCGGTGCGCAATGCGTCACGCTTGACGACGGTAGGCAGCAAGGACAATTGAAGACGGGAAGGACTCGCGGAGAAGTGCCGGATTAAAAAGGTTTCCGACCTCCCGTCGCTCGTACGGCACGCAACTCGTCGATCGGTGCTAACCGTAACTCGTCGAGTTAATTATAGCCGTGCACTCGAACGTCGAGCATTGACGCCGCCGAGCTGCTTTTTTTCGTCTATCTTTATTACAGATAGTATCTCGTCATTTCGCGGAAAGGGGATGAACTCGGGCAAAGTTGGCGCGAATTCCATTAGCGGTCAGCATGGGCCCTCAATCGCGTCTCTTAGGTCCGTATTAACAGTTGCTGCTTGCGCAACTTGCTTCGGATGAGATACTCAGATTTGAATTCCGGAGCTGGATGCGAGTTTTTCAATTGGACAGCGTTTAAAGATGCAATGCCAGATGTATCATACGATTCGACTGAAAAGCTCAGATCCAACTTGGAACGGAAGTCTGAGTATCTCGCACGAGATGAGTTTCAAGAGACGACTATTAACCTTGAGCCACGTATCGGAATGAAATTCTTAACGAGTAAACTTTTGGTGAATCGGTGATCCCTTAATTGCTGAATTTCTCACGGAAATGGACGGTCCGGGCGGATGCAAACGCAAACTGTCATTCCCCATAAATACTCACGGCGATTTAAATTGCAAATAATCGATCTCGATAGATTGAATGACAGCATTTGTCCGTGAACGATATATACATATATATATATATATCGGAGAAAATTTCTGTTTTGACGTCAATCTACCTTCGACACGAAGACGTGACGTCACATGTGCGCGCGTGCTTGTGTGTACACGTTGGAGTATCCGGGCGCACACTCCGCCGTGAATAAGACTAATAAGAGTGATTTTTAAAACGCCATAAATCACACTGTCCGACCGTGCGCCCGTCAGCCTCCGTCCTATTCAGCCTAATAGCGCGACGAATTCGATAAAAAACGCGACATTTGCCATTCTAATCGGCGCGCGTATTACGATGCGCGCGACGTGACGTACAATCACACACTGACATTTTACCAATCACAATTCGACCCAAATTGAAATTAGCCCGTCAAGTACGTGTCGATAATGTCACATTGCATATCATATCGATATAGCGGTATTTTACAAGGTTTGAGCGCTTTATACGTCACTCGCGCCATAGGAAATCAGGGCGTTTTTATCCTGACAGCTCTCGTAAGATATTCCAGAATAAGAGATAGCGCGACAGAGAGTGGGGGATGGGCGAAGACGGGAGAGAGAAAGAGGAGAGCGCGCGACAGAGAAAATCCGAACCACGGCACGAGGACACGGGACGAAAATAGAATCGCGCGCGGTGCGCGATTTAATCCACGATTCCACTTTGACGCGGCCGGCGTACGCTTGATCGAGGTTAACGCGGCGCGACGTTCATTTTCCGAGGGGGTAGAAACAATGCGCGCACCGCAGACGATCCTGCATGCACGAGGATTACACGCGATTCCGCCACCTGCTGCGCACACTGCACTTTTGTTTATGCAAGCCACGCGCGCTCGCCCGTGCGATCCGCGGATTTTTTTCATTCGCCTCTCCCTCAGAGGCCCCTCAGTACCAATTACTCGTCACTTCTCGCGCGATTTTTCGCGCGGGATCGGCGGCTCTCCCAAGGCTCACTCGGCCGACTTCTTCGGAGAACTGTTCGCGCAACACAAACGTGGCCGCGATACTTCTACCAGTGTTTTGCACGATCCTCGAGAATAGACAGTGGAAAGGGACGATAATTTCGCAGGTGCAGATCTCCCAAAGTGAAACTTTACTTCGGCACTTGGACGAACTCCTCATCGACTCCGGGGGGAGGGGAAGCTACAGTCGCGTTTCGCGCGAAATTCGCAAAAATGTCATCTCCTGCGACAGAACTCGAGAAACTACACGGAACACCCCCGGTATCTCTGCGTTCGGGTGGTAAACGTAACTCCTCCGACGTATCGCTTCCCACTGTTTACTCTCCAGCGTTTGAATGGACCGTGCATGAATGGCTTCATTGTCCTCGCCGTAACAGCAGCACTCGGTGGACGAGCGTTTCGATGCGTTCACGCACGACTCCCGGGACGGGCGGGTAGGTAGGCAGGACAGGTTATACGCGCGCTTTCGGACGCCGTGAGCGCAACGTGACGCTTTACCGCGCATACCGGAAACGCATGAATCACACAGCGCACTCACCACGAAGTAGTGGTTCCACCGAGCAGGATACGTCGCTCCCGACGAGACGTCACCGCTGACACCTCAGACGCTCCGTACGCCGTAGTCCAGCGATAGTGACAGGAGTAACGCGACGTCGGCACGACGTAGGGCATCGGGAACGCGCGTGACCTCCGCACCATATCACCACATCATCCCCGCGCCGACGACACGGCTAAGACAACAGGCGCTCTCCCTCTCGTTCACCACTCACTCAACTTTTCCCGTCCTCCGGATCACTCGCCATCCGC